CATAGTCTATTGACGTGTGTATAAAAGAAAAATGCAAAAGGATAATATCAAAAGAAAGGAAAATATAAGCGGTACCTTTCGTCTATACAGTTGACATTTCTTGCTTATACGGTGTAGAATTGCCATTTAGGGTGATTTTTCTTATGCAACTAAGCAACAAAAGAGAACTATACTTACTGAAACTTCACTCAAAAAACCAAGCGAAGCCTACTTATAGACACTAAAAAAGCCTTCAACCATCAAGAATCATGCCAGACACTGCCTTCTCTTCGAAGAAATTGCTGCAGTTCAAAAGTGCTACATTCATTGAGAATAACCGCTACCCATTTAGCGCCAACTATAAAAGTAATCTGTGAAACCATTATATATGTAAAGATGAAACTTTGAGAAAATGTAGAAGTCATAGTCACTATTCATCTCCCAAAATTTCAGCTCGATCTGTCTGGCGTAAAAAAAATCGGAAAGCTAAAGATGGATGAGTTTCCAAGATAACAGAAAAGGTTTTCTTTTCTTGCTTTGTCCATAGTCTATTGACGTGTGTATAAAAGAAAAATGCAAAAGGATAATATCAAAAGAAAGGAAAATATAAGCGGTACCTTTCGTCTATACAGTTGACATTTCTTGCTTATACGGTGTAGAATTGCCATTAAGGGTGATTTTTCTAGACCGAAGTCTTGTGTTTAATCTCTGTGGATATTTGTAAAGAAGCGAAAAGAAATATGTAGGGCATTAGAAAAGTTCCTGGACTGATTTTATTTTAGAAAGATGAAACTCGTTTTAATGCAGGGCTTGTTGTCTCTTTGTAGTTCATACAGTCCTTAATCTATAGACATGACGGGTTCTGGTCGATTAGACTTTTATGTGTTATAATAACAAGTTATTTTAGAAAACAGTTATTTTAGAACACTTTGTAACCTACGGTTTAGATTAAGTCTTATTCAGATAAAAGAGAATCTTGAGATTCTCTATAAAAAGCACATTGAATATTTTGCTACAAAATGTAAAAGTGGAACGTTATACGAATAATAGTGAGAACGTTTCAACGTGAGAACGTTTCAAATGTAACAGTTTTTCTATCGTTTATGCAATGAATAATCAGAAGTTTTATGGCAATTGTATTTTCTTTTCTTCTTGTGATAACAGACAGTATTCTTATGTTCAAAAGTTTCGCTTCTCCACAGTTAAATTGTCTTCATTTCTAAGTTTTCCATCACATGAAATTTCTCGAAAATTAGATGATCTTTATCCGTTAATGCAGTTAAGCGACACTTTTGAAATAGTAAAGATTAGTTCTCTTGTACATAAATGCGTATATATTCCTTTTAATAATGAATTTTGCGTAGTTGAAATTAGAGTTGATTTTGAACATGATTAATAATCAATAAAAGACTATTTTTTTTCTTCTTCAGGGAAAAGCCTTATTATACTACACTTGAGCCTCATTTTGCTCGTAGGCGTTAATATATCTGTACCGAAATATGACCTCTCCTCTCACTGGCTATTCAGTGTCATTCCTCTCCGACAATAACTCATCTCTCTTACTGTGCGTATATCACTCTCTTATTGTTCATCCCGCCTCTCTCTATTCATATTTCATCACTCTCACATTGTTTAGTTCTCAATCCGTCACATTGTACCTCTGTCTCATTCTTCATTCCATATCCTCTCCTTCGTGTGCACATTCATTACTCTTTCTGTACGTGTTCAATATCTTTCTCTCATTGTTCATATTTCTATCCCTCTCCTTTTGTCCTCTGCACTATATATACATATTGTACAGCACTACAATTCATTCATTCTATTCTCGAATAACTCCCTAAAGGCATCATTTCCTTTACAATATCTCTGCTTTGTTTATTTATAGATGGCAAGTGCTAATGTTTATTCGAAGGCGTATCTTAACTCTACTAATCGTTCTTCTTCATTAACTGATGAATATCTATTACTTCTTTGGCCAAAAGAAAATAATTACAGTATTTTGAAAAAGTCAAAATGTCCTAAACCCGATGAAAATAACATTGTACGATATAGAGAAAAAAATTCAATTTATACAGGAATTATTGTACTAGAAGGTAAGTATGTGCATTTTGATCTATAGTATTTTAGTCTTTTAACTGTGAACATCCGAAGTCTTTCTTTGTTTTGGCAGGAAATAAAGAAGAAGTTGAAAAAGCAACAGTTTCGCTGAACAAGACATTAAATACTGATGTGGAATCAGATTTAGAAGTCCCGCTAGTGCAAAAACAATTGAAAAAAGCAACAACAACACCATCGACAACGAAACAATCTTCATCATCCATAAATCCTTCGGGTTCGTCGTTCTTCCTACAATAATTTTTCCTACTAGTTCCTAGTAGCATTTGTCCGTTTATTGGAATTAACGAGTCCTTTTTCCCGTTTTGTCACGTCGCTAAACTAAGAACGGAAAAATTTGGTAACTTCTTGTATAGAAAAAGCGTCGTTAAACCCAAACAATTCGAAATACTCCTGTTCGCTTCTCTAAGAACCTGTCGCCGAAGTATAATTAAGGCAGTCTACAATCACTTTTGCATTTTTTAATTTTTTAGCTGCAGGTGGTGGAGGTACAAAAACATTGAGCGATTTAAGTCAAATTCCGTTCGCGCGTAAACTGGCCCTTGTTCAAAATACAACAAGTGCATCATCAATTGTTCTAATTCCTGGTAAAGATAATTCAACGAGCAGAGCAACAACATCGAATGCACAAGGTAAAGAATTTGTTTCAAGTTTCTTTATTTTTTTTTAAACTAAAGGTCTGCACTTCTGGCTTCGGTTTAGGAGTTTAGCGACCGACTAATGTGAAGCCGAATCACAGATTTAAAACACTTTGGTTTTGTTCTTATTCTTACAGATGGCGTATTTTTTCTTCTTTCTTCCATCTAGATATTTTACAAGATCTCCACACATTGATACAAGATGCATCAACACCGAAGAAAAAAGATGCAAGTGACAGTGAAAGTGTGATGGAATATAGTGACGATGATGAACAAATTGAAGCTTTATCTGTTTTAAAGCCAAGAAAACATCCGTCGAAAAAACGTAAGTTGGCTTCAAGTGACAACAGTAATCAGCCAAATACAGTAACAACAACGACGACGACAACAACATCGCCGACAGTTAAACGTTTGACGGCAAAATGTGTATTCTCAAAGGATGATATAAATAAACAAATGTTAAGAAAGATTATTCATTCATCAATGCAATTGGCAGTGATGGAAGCGAATAATGATATTCAAAAAAAGTTAAATCAAATTGTCACAATACAGAAGAAGCATGATAAAATGTTTGAATTATTATTTAAAAATCAAGTAAAGATCCAAAAAGCATTTAGCCATCGACATGTAAGGGCGTTTTATGGTTTGGAATTTTTTGCTAAACTACTGTTTCCTTCTAGGTTCATATACCCTTGGAAGAGCCTGAAGGTGAACAGCAGCAAGGTGAAGAAGAAAGTTTAGATGAACATTTTGAAACAGCTGTTGTAAGTTTCAACTTCTCTGCCCTCACATTTATGATCCTCCCGTTGTCTATTTATTTCTCTAGATGTGTGAACGTGATGGAGAACAAATTAATTTATTGTCAATAGAAGCAGATCAAAATTATATGAATTTATATGTAACATTTATGA